TTTATGAACAAATGTATACATACTTTAAAACTAAAATGTCATACTCTAAAAAACGATATAAGAAAAAGTATGACATTTCATTGAAAATATACAACTAGTCGACCCGCCTAATGGTTAGGGCGTTTCACACGAGAATTTGTGTCCTTTTATTGCAATTATTATTTCTTTCTTCTTTTTTTTTTTCAATGAAGTACAGTACTTGGGCTGTTATGAGCAAAGTACAAATAGGTCAACCATCAGATGATATGTGTTTTGGGATTTTAGTGATTTTCCTTTGCAAGATGATTCTGTTTGTTGCCGTACGTGCATTATTGCTGATGCTGTAAATAAATAAACATATTTGCATGTGAAGTAAGAAGTATTTTTCTGATTCTAAGTGAAGCAATTTTGATTGATGTTTTTGCATAACTGCATTTTATTGATGTTAGACTGCGAGGACTAACCGTTAGATCTGTCTATCTACGATATAGTTCTTGAACAAAAACTATGGTTAATTGGAAAAATAATGGTGCCACAGACAAAAGTACATACATGATCTTGATGTGTTCCATTAACTTTTTCTAAATTTTATGTTTTGTAGGATGAGAATTGAAAAAGTATATTTTGTGGGTGGTGTTCATGACAATATTGTTCTTGGTAGGGGCCTGGCATTATTTTACACAGAATAATACCAAAAAAAAAAGAAGGAAAATGGTCGATTTGGAGATGACAAGTTTAAATGGGTATGACTAGGGCTGCAAACGAGCCGAGCGGAATCGAGTATTGGCCTTATCGAGCAGGATTGAATTTGTTTTCAGCTGTTCGAGCTCGAGCTCGATTTTTGATGCTCGAGCTCGACTCGATAAGAAAATATAATAGCTCGAGCTCGAAATGCTCGAGTTCGCCTAAAAAATTATCAAGTGAAATTACCATTAAGTATTTGTGTTATACTGTTTAAATATATGTACAAGGGGTATTTTAGTAATTCAATATATATCGAGCCACTCGACAAGCCGCTCGACAATGCAAATTATGGGCTCGAGCTCGACTCGAACAGATTAGCAAAAATAAAAAATAGTTCTCTTCTCTTCATTTAATTTTATCTTTCACTAGGGATGAAAACGATCGGAAACGATCGGCATAGGGCTCAACCATTTTCACTTTCATATTTTTTTCTCGAAAACGAAAATGATACGGTAATGTCGGAAACGAAAACGACATCGGTATTCCGGTAATATTGAAAATGAAACTATCCGATCGAAAATACATCGATAACGATCGAAATATATTAAAACGGTATTTAAAAAACGATAAACACACCACATTATAAAATATAGCATTAAAACATTAATTGAAATATTCTCATGGCATAATAGTAGCAAAATCTAAATTAAAATCCACACCATTTGCTATAACAAAATCCATACAAATTTCAATAACTAGCAATTGAATTGTGACTTGTCCACCAAAGTGGGGTAGGCGGCGGCAGCTGGAGCCTGTAGCAGCTGGTGCGATTGCGACGTTGATGGGAGTGGGGCGCGGCAGCGACGAGCAGGTGACGGGAGTGACGACGAGCAGGCGTGGCGAATTGCGATGGCCGTCGGCCGATGGAAGAGATGACAGACTCCTAGACGAGACTCGAGAGTGAAGACCGAACGGGATGAAGGGGATTTGGGCACTGTAGATGCGGTTGTGACGGTGATGGGAGTGGGGCGCGGCGGCGATGAGCAAGTGACGGGAGTGGCAACGAGCAGACGACGAGCAGATGGGAGAGACGACAGACTCCCAGACGAGACTCGAGAGTGAAGATCGAAAGGGATGAAGGGAATTTCAGGATTTGGGCACTGTAGAAGGGTTGGGCTAAAGGGGATTTGGGCATTTGGCCCATTTGGGATTTGGATTGGGCTTTATAATTAAAAGTGAGCCTAGTATGGATTGGGCCGGTATTACCGACGGTAAAATACTGTTTAAATACGGTAATTTTTGAAAACGATCGGAAAGGGCTAAACCGTTTTCGTTTTCATTTTCAAATTTTTTTACCGTTTCCATTTCCGTTTTTCCGGTTACCATTTCCGTTTCCGTTTAGCCTCCAAATCCGAAAATATTTCGAAAACGATTCCCGATAATCGGAAATTACCGTTTCCGTTTTCATCCCTATCTTTCACCCTTTTTTCTTTTAGGGCCTTCTATCTAACAACTGACCATCATATATATATATATATAGTATTAGGTATTGTGGTGTCATGATTTGTACAATCTGACACTTATATATATATATATATATGATCTTTTGGTCTTATAATATATGATACATATTTATATACTCAATGCCATATGCTATATATGTAGAAATTTGGCATGTTTTATGCTGCTGTGGCTGGAATAATTGTTTTCCATATAGAAAGCTGATGTTGCAAAGGCGTTTTATTCTTTGAGGATAAGTCTTTGTTAAAATTAATTGATCAATTTTATAAATTAAGGACTATTATCTTAAATTTCAATAAAATTAATTTTTTTTTTCTAAACATTTTTTAAGTTACGAGACAATTTTTTTTTTTTTTTTAAAAAAAATTCTTATTTATTAGTTGTATCTTGTGGTTGGGATGTGACAGTGTACTCTATTAGAAGATACTATGTTTGAAAATCATGTAAGGCATTTTACATACATAAAATTTTGTATGTCAGTTGATCTTGTTACCTTTCGATGGTACCATGATTCGGATTTTATTTTGTTTCTTGTTTTGGGGTTTTACATGAGTGAAAATAAATAAATAAATAAATAATAACGCAAGAATGGTAAATATTGCACCAAATTTTGAGATGCCTTCCAATGCATGCAATAAATTTGCTTTATTTAACCAAACAAATTTTGGAGCTCGAAATAGGTGATGAATCAAGTTGGAATTAATTGGTGGAGATACAATTTTATTTATTTATTTATTGATGGTCCGAAAAATTTTGTTTGGCCGAACAAAAGAGATGAAAGTTGAAAGGACTGTAGGCGCAAAAGTCAGGGTCGGGTTCCTCTGAGTTATGAATAGGGCTGCAAATGAGCGGACTCGAGCATTGGCCTTAGAGAGTATGATTGAGTTTTTTTTTAGCTGTTCGAGCTCGTTGAACTCATTTTTTAGGCTCAAACTCGACTATATAGAAAATTACAATAGCTCGAGCTCGGCTAGAGCTCGACTCGAAATCAAAATGCTTGAGCTCGGTTCAAAAATTTTCAAGTGGAAAGGTAAAATTACCATTAAACACCTATGCTAACACATATGTATATATAATAAGGGATATTTTAGTAATTCGTGCATCTCGAGCCGCTCGACAAGACAAATATGGGCTCGAGTTCGTGCTCGAGCCGCTCGA